TCTGGAAGAGCAGTCAGTGCTCTTAACCTCTGAGCTATCTCTCCAGCCTGAGCATGCAAACTCTTGAAAGTTAGATATTTGTGGAAAAATAATCACATTTGTTCCAAATGCCTGTACCTAAATGTTCAGTGTTCTGGAATTGCAGCCAGCTGTTTGGAGAGGAAGATGCTGATCAAGAAGTGTCTCCTGACAGGGCCGACCCGGAAGCTGCCTGTGAGTAGCCGCAGCCTTTGCTCTGTTGCTTACATGGTGGAGCCTTGAGGAGCAGCAGTGGTTGCTGTTAGTGCTGGAGATCAACGTGCTTACTGTGCCATTGCATGTTTTTTCAAAGAAATTTGTTTGTCCTGCCAGACAGGGTTTCTCTGTGTGGCTTTGGAGGCTGTCCTGGCACTCGCTCTGGAGACCAGGCTGGTCTCAAACTCAGAGATCCCCCTGCCTCTGCCTCCCCAGTGCTGGAATTAAAGGTGTGCGCCACCAACTCCAGGTGAGGCACACACCTTTAATCCCAGCACTCGGGAGGCAGAGGCAGAAGGATCTCTGTGAGTTCGGAGCCATCCTGGTCTACAGAGTGAGTTCCAGGACAGCTAGGGCTGTTAACACAGAGATTCCCTGTCTTGGAAAAAACAAACCAACAACAAAACTTCAGGCGGTGGGGGTACATGCCTTTGAAGTGAACAGAAGTAAGAAGTACACTGGTCATCGTTTGCTGTCCTGGAACCCTGAATGTCTTGCACACAACTGCCTTCCATTGAGTGACTCTCTCCCTCAGGTGAGAACTTAATTGTACACTGGAGTTTCATGCTTGTCTTGTAGGGGAGCCAACTGAAGTTGAAGCCAGAGCCAGAGCGGCTAATGAAGACGGAGACATTAAGCGTATCTCCACTAAGGAATGGGCGAAGTCAACCGGATATGACCCAGTTAAACTTTTCACCAAGGTTAGGCTTGCTTTCTTGTCCCTCATCCCCCTGACCTGGTCAGGCTTTCACCTCCCTCTCTGTTAAAATTTATGAATGTTTTGCCTGCATGTGTATATGTGTACCTTGTGTATGTTGGTGCTCACCTCAGAAACGGGGGCCTGATCCAAGAGAACTAGAGTAATGGATGATCGTAACGACCACACGGGTGCTGGGAACTGAACCCCAGTCCTGCAAAACCAGCAAGCGCTCTTAACCCTGAACTATTTCTCCAGCCCCCAGGGCTTCCACGTTGATGAGCAAGGCTTTACCGGTGAACAGTGTCTCAGCTAGGTTTACTTTAAAAAAAAAAAAAGTATTTAGTAGAGTATACATACGCCGAGGTGTTCACGTGGCGGGCAGAGGACAGACAGCTTTGTGAAGTTTTGTCCAAATGTGTTGTGTGACAGATACTATTCCAGGGGCGGCATAGATAATACAGTTTGCCCCAGATAGGGCACTGACCAAACCAGAGTGTGCATAGCACCAAAAATCAGCTTTGTGAACCAGTGAGTTTTTGGTTTGGGGTTTTTAGTGGGGGGATAGAGGGTGGAGGTTGGAGACAGGGTTTCTTTCTCTGTGTGGCTTTGATTGTCCTGGAACTCACTCTGTAGACCAGCCTGGCCTTGAACTCCCGAGTGCTGGGATTAAAGGTGTATGCCTCCACCGCTGGGCAACTCTTCCTAACCATCGCAGAATTTCTTAACACTTTATATAACTTTAAGATGTTTACTAACCCCAACCCCAAAATGAAAGGAGCAGAAATGGGGCACAAAACCTCTATCTAAATGTATTATTTCAAAAACTATTAACAGACTGTTGCGTTCAAGTAGAGCTGGTGTGTTTTGGTTTTGTTTGCTTTTCGAGACAGGGTGCTGATGTGTTTAATCCAGCCATTTAGTTTGTGTCATGGTGTTGCAGATGGTTGGGGAGGTAGGGAGGGAGGGTCTGGGTGGCGAGCAGAGCTGAGAACACTGTTGCCCTGTGTTTTCCGAATATTTGAACTTTTACTGTAGTGTTGGAAATTGTTACTCTGCCTACATGTGCCATGCCTTTAAACCAGCTTTCATGGTAAAATTATAATAAATCCGCAAAATTTGATCTGTGTTTAAGGAACTAGGGCTCTGTATGATGCATGGGATTTGTTTGTTTATTTCAGCTTTTTAAAGATGATATTAGGTACCTGCTGACAATGGACAAACTCTGGCGCAAGAGGAAACCTCCAGTTCCCCTGGACTGGGCTGAAGTGCAGAGTCAAGGTAAACAGTGCAGCTAGCCACTGGTGATGACTCAGCACTCACTCAGGAGGCAGGTGGATCTCTGTGAGTTCGAGGCCAGCCTGGTCTACAAAAGCTAGTTCCAAGCCAGGCTCCAAAGTTACACAGGGAAACTCTGTCTTGAAAAAACAAAAGGAAGGAAGGAAGGAAGGAAGGAAAAGAAATACAGTTTAAAAAAAAAAAAATTAAAGATTTAATTTATATTGCACTCTGCCTGCATGTATGCCTCTATGTCACAAGAGGGCACCAGATCTCATAACGGATGGCTGTGAGCCACCGTGTGGTTGCTGGGAATTGAACTCAGGACCTCTGGAAGCGCAGCCAGTGCTCTTAACCTCGCTGGCATGCTATGTTCCTTTATCTGAACTATGCTGCAGCTGGCAGCATGATTGATTTAAAAGATCCTGGAGCGGCACATAGCGGCATTCAGCAGTGACATTGTGTAATGTTGGGCAAATGGAAGCGTGGCTGACAGGTTGGCTTCAGAGTGTTAACTGTGCCGGGCAAAGTATGATACTTACCCTTTATATTTACTCTTAAATGATATGGCTATGTGCACACGAGTGCGCTTCCCACCAAGGCCGCAAGAGGGTGTCAGCTCCTCTGGAAGAGCAGCCAGTTCTCTCAAGTGCTAGCATCTCCCCAGCTCTGCCATTATATTCTTGAATGTTCCACAAATACCATTAGATCCTGACATGGACTTAGATAGTTCACAGCTTAGCAGTTTTCTTGCACACATAATTGTAGTGATAGCTGTCAAATGGAATTTGTTTCTTTTAGTAACCTCTTAATGGCCAACAGCAGAATCTGTTGAAAAGAACAAGAAAGATAGGTGTTGAATAAAAATTCCTATTTATTTTTAGGAGAAGCCAATGCATCTGATCAACAAAACCAGGCCCAGTTGGGTTTGAAGGACCAGCAGGTTCTGGATGTAAGGAGCTATGCAAGTCTGTTTTCCAAGAGCATTGAGACTCTGAGGGTCCATTTAGCAGAAAAGGGGGATGGCGCTGAGCTCATCTGGGACAAGGTTTGTTTTGAACAAAACCAGGCCACTGGTTTACGTAGGTCACTCACACATCTCACTTGAGTTGTTGCTGTGCTGTAGAAGAGCCAACAACTTGGGGTGTTGCTTACTTTGTTTGAATGCTTTTCTCTCCAGTGGTTGTTTGAATATAGATTTTTCTGTGCATAAGATTAAGTATCACAAAATTTTGTTTTGACTGGTAGCAACACACTTAAGGCTTGATATATTAACTAGAAAATGGTTTATCGCAGTGGGTTGTTTGAGTTAGAAAGATAGATGTAAAAGTCCTCTGGTTTTGGACTGATTTGACCTTAAAAATACTAAAAACTGCCTACGCATTTCCACCAGGGGCTGAGCCTAGGCCCTTGCGCATGCTAGGTAAGTACTTATATTGTGTGGCTCAGGCTAGCCCTAACAGTTGAGAGCATTTGCTGCCACTCTTAGCTCTGAGGTTGCCTTTCTCTTAAAGTGGACAGCGTTTCAGAAGTCTGGGGAAGGGAAGGCAGGCGTGAGCCACGCCTATACTCCCGGCACCATGTTTGAGGCCATCCTGGGCTGCAGAGTGAGCATGGTTTTGTTGAGTTTGAGACAGGGTCTCTAATGCCAGCTAGCCTCCAGTTCCCTCTGTTGTTGGGGTGGCTTTGCTGTCTCCCTATCACACTTGCATAGTCAAGTGACCTAGAGCTCACTTGCTGGAGGCCTGCTCTGCAAACTAGCGGAGCTGCCTTCCCAGGAAGGTGCAGTTGTAACGACAGTTTTACTGTGAGACCTGAGATGTGTCTGTGGCTCTTTGCTGGGGTGCTCACTTGCCTGGCATGCATGGGGCCCTGGGTTTCATCCCCTCATGGGAAGGAAAGGAAAGATTTGCTGTGGGACTCAAAGAAAGGAAAATGATTGGCCTCTTTTAGAATCCCCAGATAACTCTATGCACAAAGTTTGAAGCTTTGCTTGAATCAGGTATCTAAAACAAAGCTGGTGGGTTTAGATTTTTGAAATTCTTACAAACACTGGTCTCTTGGTTTATGTGATATAAATGGTAAGTTTTAAAATATTTTCTTTGTTGTTATTCTAGTGATTTGGAGAGTTTCTGTTTGTTCAATGGGGTCAAATAAGGAGCTCATGGCCCTGAGCACTGCTGCCCTCATGACTGACTGACTGTAGTGTCGGAGCCGGTTCCTATGAGAGTCGGTGGCTTAGGGTTTTGTTCATGTATTTTATATATATACGAGTGCTCCATGTTCATGTACACCAAAAAAGGGCATTGGATTCCGTTACAGATGGTTGTGAGCCACCATGTGGGTGCTGGGAATTGAACTCAGGACCTCTGGAAGAGCAGCCAGTGCTCTCAACCACTGAGCCCTCTCTCCAGCCCCCCAATCTTTTTTTTTTTTTTAATAAAGGCATCTATCTAGTCAGGCATAGTGGCACATGCCTTAAATCCCAGCAGCTGGGCGGGGAGGGACAGCAAATTCCAAGACAGCTAGGGCTACACAAACCCTATCATGCAAAAAGAAAAAGAAAGAAAGAATAAAGGCATTTTACAGAGCAAGACAGCTGCATCTCGATCAAGAACTTATCAGAAATAGACATGATCACTCATACCTTTAGTCCCAGTGCTCGGGAGGCAGAGGCAGCTGGATTTCTGAGTTCTAGGACAGCCTGGTCTACATGGTAAGTTCCAGGACAGACAGGCATATGTAGTGAGACCCTGTCTCAAAAACACAAACAAACAAAGCAACAAGAGTTAAGGTAGAGACCCTGAGGCCGGGGAGTAGCATTTTGCTGCAATGCATTTGGGCACACTGTGAGCTGAGGCCAGGCTCTTGGAGCCTTTGCTTCATTTGAGTGGCAGCAGTTACCTCTGGGCTCCTCATCTTTACTTGTGGGAAGACGGTCCGACACTCTAAGCTGGGCCAGGTGGTGCACTTGCTTAATTTTGGTACTCGGGAGGGATTGCCAGGCAAGTCTGAGGTCTCCGGGCCAGCCTGGTCCACTCCAAGTGCCAGGGCAGGGATACACAGAGAAACCCTGTCCTCAAAACCTGCGTGTGGGATCTAGAGAGACCTACAGCCTTGGAGTCCACAGCCACCTCTGGGAAGACCTTTCTGATGGGATTCCCCAGAGACTCAGGCCAGGTCACTCAGTATGCCAGTGGCCAGAGCAGCTTCCTTCCTTCAGGGGAGATGGAAGGAATCGGTGCTCAGCTGTGCATATAGCCTCAGTGCATTTGCATTTGGTCTTTTAAGGCGTGTTTCCTTTTCGTTTGATGCTCTGCGTGTGGCCTACAGTGTGCTGACTGTGCTTGTACACGTGTGTGTGTGTGTGTGCGCGCTGCGTGTGGCACCTACAGTGGTCACAAGGACGGTGGTCTGGACTAGTTGTAGATGCTGTGACCAGCACGTTGGTGCTGGAAACTGAACCCTGGTCTTTGCAGGCTGCAGGTTCTCTTTCCCGACCTCTGGGCCTCCTCCCACTTCGCAAGTGCGTGTGTTCAAACAGGAACCCTCCCAGCACTCGGGGCAGTTGTTGTGTGGTAGATTATCTTCCTGGACCAGAGGACCAGATAAGCCCCTCCCCCCCACTCTCAGCTGTGAGGCCTCACTGTGTAGCCTCTGGTTCAGATCACCCCTAACATGACAGATATGTCAGTGTGACTGTGTGGAAGGTGACGGTAGTGAAGTGACTTTGATTGGGCGAGGCCTTGTCATCTGTGTAGTGAAGTGACTTTGATTGGGCGAGGCCTTGTCATCTGCGTAGTGTGTGGAAGGTGACCGGTTGTCATTGTCATCTGTGTCACTGACAGGACGACCCACCAGCAATGGACTTCGTCACTTCGGCTGCTAACCTCAGGATGCACATTTTCAGCATGAATATGAAGAGCAGGAATGATATAAAATGTAAGTTGTTTGTACTTTGGTTGTGTCATTAACAAACCCATGCAGAGGCTTCTGTTTGGACAGCTAAGTGTGCGTGTTTGTCTCTTTCTGTCCTCTAGCAATGGCGGGGAATATCATTCCTGCTATCGCTACCACCAATGCAGTGATCGCCGGCTTGATCGTGTTGGAAGGTTTGAAGATTCTGTCAGGAAAAATAGACCAGTGTAGAACCGTGAGTAATGTTTTGTTAGACTTTTGAGATAGTGCCTCACTATGCTGTCCTGGAACTCACTATATGGACCAGGCTGGCCTTGAACTCACAGGGATCCACCTACCTCTGCCTCTTTCTAAGAGTGCTTTTATAAGAAGCACAGAGATTGAACTAGGAATTGCTGGGATTTTGAGACTGTTTGGTGTAGTGCACAGTGGTCTTGAAGCACCTGAGGATGACTTGAACAGGCTCCTGAGAGTGTGTGCACCCCCACCCTACTCCCAGTTCCGTTCAGTATTTTTTCTTTACTTTTAATTTGGGCTGCCGAGTTTTTAACTTCTAAGAATTTTTTTAGGGTTTGTTTTTGTTTTGTTTTGTTTTTGTTTTTCTTTCTTTCCAGACAGGGTTTCTCTGTGTAGCTTTGGAGCCTATCCTGGCACTCGCTCTGGAGACCAGGCTGGCCTCGAACTCAGAGATCCGCCTGCCTCTGCCTCCCCAGTGCTGGGATTAAAGGTGTGCGCCACCACCGCCCAGAATTTTTTTTATAATGACTTTTTCACTGAAAACCATGTTTCACGGTGGCTTTCAGATTGAATTCCAAACAATGCTATTAAATTTATGGAAGTATCTATTTTTTATTTATAGTTTATAAGGCTGTGTTTCAATTGTTTGTGCTTAATTTTTGTGTGTGTGTGTGCTTAATTTTTAAATGTCAAAGCAGGTTCATACTGTTTAGCCGTCATCCTGACGTTTTTGTTGGATGCCGGCATCAAAGCTGGGTTCTGTGCACAGTAAGCATGCTCTCTGCCGTGTTATAGCCTTGGCTTCAGTCATGTGTTGCTACTATCACTTTCTTTCCTAGTGCAGCCCCGGGGCCCAAGTCTCTTGTCCCTTGCTTCCGGCCTTGCTCTGTGCCTGGCATCCATTGTGGGAAAAGCGACAGGTGGAGGCTGTGCTGCATAGTGGCCTGACTTTTCTTTGGCCTGGGGGAACTGTTGTGATTCTCTTTGAGAATTAATTGATCCTAGACACAGTGCCAGCTTATAGTCACAGAGTGAAGGGGGCTGGAGAGGAGAGCATTGGCTCATCAGTTAAGAGCACTGGCTGCTCTTCCAGAGGACCTAGGTTCTGTTTGCATAACCCACATCAAATCTTCGAGCTGTCACTTCGGTGCCAGGGTTTATGAGGTCCTCTTCTGCCCTGAGGGTATGGGCGTATGTAGGCAGAGCCCCCATGTACATAAAGTAATAAAAGAATTAAAAATGCCTTTAATCCCAGCACCTGAGAGACAAAAGCAGGTGGATCTCTGAGTTTGAGGCCAGCCTGGTCCACAGAGTTTGAGGACAGCCAGGGCTACACAGAGAAGCTCAGCCGACAGCCGACATTGGACTGTGGGGAGGAAGGTTCTGAGTTCATCTATAAAATGGTAACTCATGGTTTTGGTTTCTGCCTGTGTATGGACAGAGGTGTCTGCATTGTGATGAGCAGCAGACAGACAGCGGGTGAAGTCGGCACTTCTGACAAACTGTTTTGTAGGTGAACAGATTGCATGCCTAGCAGCTGACTAAGGCTGGGCACACTGTTTCTCTGAGAACAAGGACCCAGGAGTAACTTGTTTTTTTTTAAATGGTATTTTTTGGAGACAGGGTTTCTCTGTATTGTGTTGGAACCTATCCTGGAACTCGCTCTGTAGACCAGGCTTGCCTGTCTCTGCCTCCCGAGTGCTGGGATTAAAGGCGTGCACTAGCGCCCGGCCCAGTAGTAACTTGTTGAAGTGTTAAGTGTAAAGTGCTTTCCTGTGGCGTAGTTGTTAGTTGGTGTTTGCTGTGGAGCTAAAAGGACTCCTGAATGTGGGGCTTACACTTGTGGAGAGCGCTTCCATGTTTAGGAATAGGTAGGATCACTCAAATTGCATCTTGGAAGTTAAGGGGAGATGCTGTTTGGGACCCGAGAGGGTTTTGTCTAACCATGACAGGGCTGACATGGAGACTGAGGGGAAATGTGTCAGGTGCTCTGCCCGAGCCTAATCTTCAGGGAGAACGAGGAGAGTGTCTCCAGGTTCTCAGACTGCTCTGCTACTGTGTGCGCATGTGGGATGTGGGCAGCTCCTTGGTCTCCTGTTAGAAGCAGAGAGACAAGCCTGACGTCCAAGTTCCACCCCCCAGAGCTTTTGTATGGTCTATACAGTGGTTGTTTGGGTAACTGAGTCCACAAAATAAAGAGATTCACTTATTTATTGGGGAATCACTCACAAATGTTAATAAGGTTAGAGAGCCACCTTGGTCTCCTCCCTGGGGACACTGGAAGCTTTGATCAGATCTCCGTCCACCATACAAAAGAGCGAGCATGCTTCTCTCTGCTCTTCAGTCCACACCCAGACCACACCCTAAGGGCTGGTACCCCACTCAGCTATGGCTGAATGGATCCCCACAGCACTGTACCTGAGTGCTGTGGGGCTTGTGCAAACACACTGCATATGACACACAGTACTTATGTGAGTTTTGGAGACTAACTTGAACCCCCTCCAGCGAAAAAATAAAACTGTATAGAAAAGTAATATAGGGTTTCTTGCAGTCTTTAATGACCTGCATTAATTAATATTTAATTTTTCTTCTTTTAGATAGTGAAAGAGAAGTTCGCTATGGTGGCACCGGATGTCCAAATAGAAGATGGGAAAGGAACGATCCTGATATCTTCAGAAGAGGGAGAGACAGAAGGTGCCTGCCTGCTCCTCCTCGCCTGGGCGTCTGCCTGAAGGAGGGACAACTGGGCTCCTGGGGGTTGCCTGTGTTAGTGTGCTGGTGCTCTTGCTGGTGCAGTCACGGTGGTGGCGCTTGTGGAGGCCCTGCAAGGTGGTGTTTGTCCGGATTTGAAGGCTTTCATGGCATCGGCATCCCAGTGCACAGACATTGGCTGCTCATACATTGTATACCTATGTTCAATTCCAAGGATGCTGTCTGTATCATGGGCCCTAGCGCTAGGTTGGTGGTGAGCGTGGGCTTCATTCAGGCTGTTAGCCACACTGGGGAGTGTAAAGTCTTATTTTTTTTAATCAAGAGTGGCAAGGTCTTGGTAGCTGGCTATTTCCTGTCCCTACCCCCAGTGTTGGGAATAACTGAACTGCTGTCTAGCTGTAACTGTTGAGATTTCCTGTCAGGGACAGGAATATAGCCAGTTGGCACAGTGCTGACTTGGCATACATGAACCGTGTGTGGTGGCGCACACCTGTCCCAGTCCTCAGAGGGGGAGCAGGAGGATCAGAGGTTCAAGGCCAGACTTGGCTGTGTGGTAAATCTGAGGCCAGCCAGGCATCATGCCTTAATCACAACACTCAGAAGGCAGGCGCAGAAGGTTCTTCATGAGTTCAAGGCCATCCTGGTCTGCAGAGTAAGACCCTATATTTAAAAGAAGAAAACACACACACACACACAGATTCATGTTGATAATAGTTTTTCTTGTAGAGAAGTTATTGGAGCTATTAGGTCATGTGTGTGTTGGCTTTCCGTTTGGGGATCTGGTTTAAAACTGTTTGCTTTGAGTGTTCAGCGCCTGAATAGCACATTTAGTTTGCTGTGCCTGTAAATACCACAGCCTGCAGCGCTTAACTAACATCAGATGTTTTACCACAGTCCTCTCCCTCTCCACCTTGCTGTGTCTTTCTGACAGAGTGTGCATCCCTGATCTCTGAGTGGGCAGGCTTCTAGATGGCGTAAGGAAGGCCTTTAGAGTCTCTCCTCCACCTCCCAAGTGCTAGGGTTGCAGTCATGTGAAAGACTGATTTTAACTTGTTAGCACTTGTACAAAGCTGTCTGTTCAAAATGCAGTCACTTTCCTGGGTGTGACAGGCCAATTTTGGACGGACACAGTCCCACCATGATGCATTTTGCTTCGTAAGAACTAACCTGTCTGCGGTGTGGAGGCCTAATTAAAGCATCTCCATTCTGTTCACATCCAGCTAATAACCCCAAGAAGTTGTCTGATTTTGGAATTAGAAATGGCAGCCGGCTTCAAGCAGATGACTTCCTTCAAGACTACACTTTACTGATCAACATTCTTCATAGGTAGGAACTGTTAGTGCTGGGGTGTAAGAAACACCAGAGCTCTCCAGAGCACAATGGAGTGCAGTAGACAACTGCACAGGGTCTGTGCTTGACTGGGCCACTGTGTTCATAGGACTGTGCCTACAGAAAAATGTTAGGGTTCAGAAATACGGGGATACACAGCAAAACAGTTTGAGGATGAAAAACTGGAGGCTTTTGACAGCCGTACTCAAAGGCTTTGTGTCTGAGGAGATGTTTCGTATGCATGTGTGTTTGGGTACCGTGTATATACAGTGTCTGAACATGGCATTGGGTCCCCTGAAACTAAGGTGTTTGTGAGCCACCGTCCGGGTGCTAGGGGTAGAGCACTCTGGAGGAGCAGCCAGTGAGTGCCCTTCCCTGCTGAGCTGGCTGTGCAGCCCCGTTGAAGCCCATTTTCAACGCCCGTGAGTCCCGAAGCCCCACATGAAAGGCCGTTGTGGTGCTGCGAACGGTGGCTGACGCTGGCCTCATTGGAGCACCAGCTGGGTGGCAGTGGCAGGCTGGTGCTCATTGTCTGAAGGAGAGCACCGTCGGGGTGAAAGTTCGTGCCTGTCTCTCTTACCTTGTTTGAAGTCTCAGAACAGAGAGAATGCCTTGAAGAATGCACCTCCTCTGTTCACCTGACAGACACACTCTCCTGCCTATTTTGGAACTTGTGCATGAAAGTGGGGAGTTGCTATAAAGGTGGGGGAACCAGAAACCACATAACCCTGTCCCCAGAATACCATTTAGCTTACAAACGGAACGAGTGGGGCTCTTTGGGTATGGTAGCTGGGAAAGATGCCTTGGAGTTGCTGGGCTGCAGAATTTCTGCCCAGTTCTCTGCGTTAGAGGCACAAAGAACGACAAAGCAGCCTTTACCATTTGATCTAGAAAAGCTCTGCTCTGTGAAAACGAGACCCTCCTGAGTGTGGAACCCTGAGTGTGGGAGTCTCTGTTCCTTTAGCAGGTGGACATGTGTGGCCTGCCCTCTGGCTCACAGCCTGCCTTTCTCTTACAGCGAAGATCTAGGAAAGGATGTTGAATTTGAGGTTGTTGGTGATGCCCCAGAAAAAGTGGGTCCCAAACAAGCTGAAGATGCTGCCAAAAGCATCACCAATGGCAGTGACGATGGTGCCCAACCTTCAACCTCCACAGGTGAGTCACCTCCAGCCAGTGGGTTTAAAACAAGCTGGTACTTTGGTGGGCGTTGAGCATGAAATGCTAACGCTGAGTTAGTTTGGAATTGATTGTAAAATGGAGCTTTGAGTTCTGTGAACCACGGAGACCTTTAAGGCTGTGGGATATTCTTAGAGCGGGAAGGAATGGTTTCCTGACTCCCCAGTTGAACTGGCTTCACAGTCTGTTCTGTGTAAGCTGCCAACCCTCTGTT